GTTCTGGCAGCTGATTGGTGGGTTCCGGTTTCCATGAGACCGGTCAGAGTTCATCAGGGTTTGATCTTACGCTCAGCCAGTCACGTGTTCCTGAAGGCGTCACCTGTGCTGCTGTTGGTCATGTGACGTGTGCGAGCGCCGCCGAGATCTCTGCGTCCAGCTCCTCGTACTCCGAGCACAGCTGCGGGAGAAAACACACACACACACACACTCAGAACTGCATCGATTCACAGTTTAACGTCCATTAGCTTGTTATAGGGCTGCTGTCTGCGTCTGTGAGCTCTGTATAACTTTCTGTTTTGAATCTCTATTTACTGTCATTCCTTGTTTATATTGCTAAATATAACTTGCTCATCAACATATATTAGATATTGTCTAATATTGCCTATCACATTAATCTGACATCGCTAGCTTTTATCTAAATCGGTATCGCTAGCACAACACGCTAGTATTTCGCTATCCTGTTAACGTGATCTCTCGTGCCTTTTACGAGTTATCAAACAACTGGCGAGTAGGATCAGTCTACAAACACGGTGAGTCGTGTCTTCTCCTGGTATTGTCACTTGCACCGCGTGTCACATGTATAGCATAGCATTCTCTGTCAGCGGTGAGGGCTACACATGTGATAAATGCAGGGAGACAGTCAGGCTGACGGAGAAGATTTCAGAACTAGACACGCATCCAAACTTTAATTGAGGATAGTAAGAATAGATTAGATACTGCTTTGGATGCGACTAGCTTAGAGAACACTGTACATTGTTGGGTTCCAGCTGTAGTAGAGCCTGTGCACCAGGGCAACTGGGTGACCGTGAGGCGCTGTAGTCGCGGGACAAAACAGCTCTTCCGTTCCGATTACAACATTAAACCGGTTCTCCCCACTCAGTGAAACACCCACAGAGAATCCTGGTGAATGTGCCCTAGTTATTGGTGATTCGATCACACGGAACGTGAAAATAGAGACACCAGCCACCATAGTCACATGTTTGCCGGGAGCCAGAGCGCCTGACACCAAAGCAAATCTAAAAGTGCTGGCTAATGCTAATCGTAAATTCTCTAAGATTATTATTCACGTCGGCACTGATGATGTTCGACTCCACCAGTCGGAGATCACCAAAATTAATGTTAAAGAGGTGTGTGAACTCGCAAGTACGATGTCAGGCACTGTAATTTGCTCTGGCCCCCTTCCTGTTCGCAGGAGTGATGAGATAGTTAGTAGATTGTGTTCACTCAATGGCTGGCTGTCTAAAGCCTCTTTCACACAGCGCATTGATCCTAGGAAATAGCCATAGAATTGCTAGAGTTCCTTCTGTGTGAACGCAAACGCGTCCTGGGATCGATGCCTAGTAACATTGCTGGGATCAGTCCCAGAACGCACCCTGTGTGAACAAAAGCCAGGACCAATGCCGTAAGGGGTGTGTCGTAGTGATGCCGCACCGGCCTTTCTACAGCCTACAGCATAAGGGGAACAAGCCTCGGCACACCCAATGGCGCTACAGGGAGCATGGACTCGTCTTCGTGTAGAAATGAGGAAGAGTTATTAGCAGAACTGACATCAGACAGGAGTTACCACATCCTGACGTCACGTGTGTTTACGGGATCTTTACAGGATGTGTGTGAACGCACTCACAGATTCCGGAAAACCAAAACCAAACGATCCCGGGACACATTATCCGTGTATTTATATCCATTAGCCATTATCTCTGTGTGAAAGGGGCTTAAGTGGTGTCCACAGAATTATATAGAATTCATAGACAATTGGAAACGTTTTTGGGGCAGACCATTTATAAAACTGTGTGTAGGATCCACACTTAAAGTGTACGTGCGCCAAAAGCCAAACATGGCGTACGCCAAAGAATTATACGGATGTGCGTCACATTACACTGCTAAAAATCATTTAGTAGCTGATCCTTGCCTTTCTTTGAATAAATAAATCAAATAGTATAAAATACATTTCAGAGAAAGTTATTCTCAATCTTTTCCACACTGGCAAAATAGTATTTTTAATTGATTTATATTATTTAATGGAAACAGATAGGCCTTATTGTGCATTATTTGCGCAAAATATTTTCTCAGACAATCTGCTATTCTCATGATAAGCAATCCTTTCTGTAGTTAAACATTAAAACACAGCATGCCACAGGAAAAGTGTTCATTTATTAGGATATCAAAAATGTTGTAACTTTTCCTTAATGAATTCATGTAGTTTAAGACCTTAACTCCATTAATGAGAATGGCAGATTTAATCTAAATGTGTTTATCAGATGTAAAACATAGTTTAAATCATTCTTTTATTTGTTTAAACTGTTATTGTGAACATGCACTGTATTTATAATTCGGACTCATAATGAAGATTTACGGTTTTCCTTCATCTGCCGTTAGATATATAGGCTATGCTACAGCATCAGCTTCACGAAACGGCCAAAAAGCCATTTAACTCCAGATCACCATCGGTGTCGCCAAACTGTGTTTGTGTGCTCTTCTCTCTAGTAATATGGCACATAGTCTCAGAGCTCAAACATGACAATCTGGGGCTCAGGTCAGAGGAGACAGACTGGCTAAACCGACCGTCTGCTAGCGGCCTCACGTCACTGAGGTCAGACAAAACGCAGCAGCTCGAGTTCTTACCAGAAGGTATGACCATATTAGCCCCTATTAAACATCGCATGAATTTTTAAATATTGCTGATTACTTACAAAGCACTAAATGGTTTAGCTCCCAGTACTTGAGCGAGCTCTTAACGCATTATAGTCCTTCACGTCTATTGCGATCTCTAAACTCCGGCCAGTTGATAATACCTAGAATATCTAAATCGACTGCTGGCGGGAGATCCTTTTCCTATTTAGCACCAAAACTTTGGAACAGTCTTCCTACCATTGTCTGGGAAGCAGACACACTCTGTCAGTTCAAAGCTAGACTAAAAACACATCTCTTTGACCTTGCATTCACATAACACATACATTCCTATTATTTAAATCAGTTAAATGATTATTATAGCATAGATTGGGTCAGCCGGAACCGGGAACACTTCCTATAACACGCGGTGTACTCGTTACATCATAAGAAGAATGGCATCTATGCTAATGTTAGTCTCTCATGATGGATAGATGCACTTTTATGATGGATAGATGCACTTTTATGATGGATAGATGCACTTTTATGATGGATGGATGCACATTTATGGACTTCAAAACATAAACGGGCATTATAAAGCTTGGAAGAGCCAGGACATTTTTTAACATAGTAAATCATGGGCTAATTTTCATTTTTGGGTGAACTATCCCTTAAAGTGATAAAGAGCACACACTCATCTCTATTCCTCCACATGTGAGCATGTGTGTGTGTGTGTGTGTGTGTGTGTGTGTGTGAGTACCTGTTTTCTCTGGCTGAGTGACAGACAGGTGCGTGAGCTCAGAGAGATGCTGGTCATCAGCAGTTTACGGGCCTCCAGCAGGACCTGAGAGAGACACACAGGGGAGAAGACTGAAGCTGTGTGTGTGTGTGTGTGTGTGTGAGAGAGAGAGAGAGAGAGTGTGTGAGCCGCTGCTCTGACCTGCTGCTGTGTGGTTGAGCCGCTCATGATCAGCTGACTGAGATCCCTGTAGCAGACGGCAGCTCTGTAGAGGAAGCCAGGAGATCGGATCGCTCGCGTCAGGACCTCTGAGTCCAGCGCAGAGAGGATGCTGGGAGATGAGCGCAGACACCGTCAGCACGCACACACACACAAGCGTTATACTGAAACATGAGCGTCTCTCACCTGTAGAAGGCAAACGGCATCAGTCGGAGGATCTGCGGAGACGCCACACGTGACGAGAAACCAGACAGTCTGTGATCTACCAGAGAAGAAGCAACCAATCACAACAGCGTCACATGATCATGACACGGACTTCAGCTCATGTGTCTCATATGTGATAAAGTTTGATCACTGATTCTGTTATTCTCCCATTTATCACTGTGAAGCTGATGTGACACGATTGGTCCTGAATAAAGCTGACGTGACTCGTTCACACCTGATCCAGATTGATCAAACAGCAGCAGCCAATCAGCATCGTGCAGGAGGAGGTGAGCGAGGAGACCCGCACTGGCGTCTCGGACACGCTTCACACACACGTCATCAGAGAGCGTGTGGGTCGTGTCAGGCGATACCTGTTCGTTCAGCTGAGCAGAGATGAGCTCCATCACACTGTAGAGAAACAGGAAGAGCCACACCTACACGAGACAGGAAGAGCATCAGAACAGGAAGTGCATCAGAACAGGAAGTGCATCAGAACAGGAAGTGCTCTCCCCGTAGGCCTGTGAGATCATGTGACTGACCTGATCCTTGTCGTCCAGCTGTGTGAGGACCCGTCTCCTGCTCTCGCTGTCGGATCTCCTGAGGACGCTGTGCAGAGCCGCGGCCAGCAGCCATGATGGAGCCGCCGGAGCCGCGGACGCTAGTCCCTTAATCAGCCTACAACACACACACACACACACACACACATCAGAGAGGAAGCAGCGGATCTTACAATCACAGGCTTTAAAGACCTTTCAGCAGGCCCGGCGCTACGGGAACCATTTGTGCCCCCCAGCTCCCTTTCGAAAGGGAACTTGCACTGCGTTCATGACGCTATGGGGAACGCCCTCCACGTGAACCGGTGTCTGAAAGCTTATTCAATCGCAGCAATTGATATTGACCGGTGACAGCCTATGGCGTCACTCCTAGTGCGATCCGGAAGTATATAAGGGGCACCTAGAGAACATGTCATAAATTTTTTCGTCTTCAGGGACTGTTTTGTTTGTAGCTTCAACCTGAAATTTCAAAAAGGTCATCATGGCTTGTGAAAAACGCTTGTGTGGATCCGTGTCTAAGATATTGACACATGATGACACACAACGTGTGCGTTTCCTGCTTGGGCTCAGAGCACGCACGATCAGTTCTTGAGGGAACTGTGAGATTTTCCCTTGATAAAACTCTGCTCTCGTCTGCCCTCTTCTCGAGGGACCGGCATCTGTGCCCGGCAGTTCGGGTCCCGGTCGCGTTGAGGCAGAGAGCAGAGACTGTAATCAACAGACATTTCTGTGTGAGGTGGCTTCCTCCCTAACAGGAGCTATTCTACTGAGGCCACCGCTCTGTCAGCTCCAGATAGAACTACAACGTCAAGCCACCCTGATAGCCACCTTATACTAGAGCAGCAGTTCTCCTCTCACTTTTAAGAGCCGTTTTGAGATTATAGCTCTTAACTTCAGACATATATATTCGTGTGTCGGCCCTCACGAGGCCGCCTCGATATCTGGCTTAGTATCTGGGAATTTCTGGTGGTGGTCTGCTAAGCATTCTCGCCTCGTGCCTCTCAGTATCTGATTGTAGGTTCCTTAGTATTCTGCTTTGGCTCTCAACGAAGGCGGTCGCATTTTCTTCCCCTCCTCTCCCTCACCTCCCCTGCTTTGCTCCTCTCGTCTCATCTAGTCTACTGTCTTGTACTTTGAGAGACTCTCTCCGCACTGCTCTCCAAACTAAGAAATCATGGATTTGATCAACTGGTCTCTCAACGCAATTGACACCATCTTCTCGACGAGAAGCTTGGGTTCGGGGGAACCTGACTGCCCTGCCGGAACGTTCGCAGCTGGCTACACGATGGACGCGTGGGAGAAGTGGCGGGTCGTGTGTCTGGCGGCTCTTTCCGTGGAGGACATTGAAGATATCTACCTATTCGGAACCATGATAACAGGTTTTCTGCTGATTGGATCAGGCATTGCCCTGGTTTATCGAGGAATTAAGGAGACGGTGACAGCTGTCCAAAGCTCCACAAGGCTGCCCGTCATGATTGAAGCGGTGGGCAGAGCTGTCAGCACTGAGACTGTGACTATGATCCACAATATGGATAACATCATGGAGAAGCTCACAGCTTTGCAAAGGCAAATGGATCGTTTTGGAGACCAAAATGGACCAGGAGCTGTGTAAATCGGAATGCGGCTACTCGTCCCAAGACAAAACAATCCCAATCTTATCTGCTTTCGGCCCCCCTCATCCAGCACTGGCCTTGGCCAAGGCCGCTGTTGGAACAACAACTCCTCCGGAAGAGCACTGCAGCGAGACGCTCTTGCGTTCCTTCCCCCACTCCCCACAGACACCTGCTGATTGTTGACTCTGTCTGGGACCTGATCAGGGTTGTCTCCATGGCAACTTGCTGTGTATCGCTATGACAATCCTGCGGACTTGAGGCACCTAGATTATGATGCCAGGCGCAGCGACTCTCCAGGCCTACACATACACGAACTCTTACATATACAGATATGCATTCACCCCCCCCCACCACCCATCCCTCGCCTTCAACGCTTCGTACCACCAGTCTGACAGACGGGTCTGTGACCAGCGCCGAGAATGGCTGCAGGACCGGACGCTGCCTGCCTGTGCTGGGTTACCTCCATCCCCCACTCCCCTCCCCTGTTGCAAGTCTTGTGTGTTCATGTTGTAGACTGTACTGATTATGTGCTAATGTTGCTGAGGTGTTTTTTACTGTTCACAAACTGTACTCCTCACAGGAGCATAGTCTGGGGGTTGCCTTTTTTTCTCCTCACCTCTCCTCATTGTCATGCTGTATTTTCTTCCTCAATGCTCTGTCTTCCTGTCCTGTCTACCCCCTTGTCATATTGCATGTATGTCTGTATGGACAGGTTGATGGCTAATTTCGCTGGTACTTGTGACTAGTGACAATAAAGGCTACTACTACTACTTAGACCATCAGGAGATTTTATTCCTGTAAATCTAGTTGTTCCTAGTACTGGCCTTCTCTTACTACAAGAGTCATCTAGCCAAGGCCTGCCTTTAGCTCTAGGTTTAAGCTCCTGCCTTTGCTAGTGATGTTACAGGGTAGATAGCAGCATAGGTAGCAGGCTACCTTCAAAAAGCCTCCCATGCAGATATCTCATGGGCGTTGTCAGGTCTTTCTCTCTAGAGAGTAAGAAGCGGTGTGATCAGGCCTCCGCCCTTTACAGCATCGAGTGTAGTAGCTGTCAGCAAGGCCTTAAGTTAAAATAGGATTTTCCCCCTGAGCCCCTTGAATAAAATAATTCAAGTCATAAGGTTGAATGGCGTTGGCCACTTACTGAGGCCTCCATTCCCTTGGGTTTAATAGAGAATATAAAATCTGTCTTGTAAAAAATACAAGATAAGAGGCCTCGACCCTGATAGATTCCTCAGGGTCATGCTGATAGTGCTCCCCTTGTTAGGGTCATTATTTAGAGTATTTTGCTACCCATAGCTCGTATGCTATCACCCTTCCCCACCCAGGCTCAGGTAGAGACAGATTAGATACTCCCTCCCACTTGGGATGGTTGAGTATGCTCCCTTAGAGCTAAAGCACTGCCTAGGCTGACGCCCATGATATTCGAAGCTGTAGGCCTTACAGTAGGCCTCCTCGATAGTCCAGTAGCATAAGACTGTACTCCCCTTGCTTTAAAGGGCACTTCTGCTGAGTACACTACCTGTTGGCAATGTTAAATAAGTATAACCAGGCACAAAGAAATATCTGTGAGAGCACCTGGCTTCTGTGGCTAGCCCTGCTAAGATCCTCCTTGAAGGCGGCTCCCCAACGAGTCGGACGCTTAGCATTGCAAAGGCATTAAGTATCACGTTGCAGGCCCCATGCAGCCCCCCTGTTTCTAGCCCAGAGCCTGGTCAACACTTATCAGGTTTGAGCATAGTGTTCCAGAATCTATCTGAGGATCGCTCTGTATGAATACTTAACTCCCTAAGTCTGGTCAGAAGGTCGAAGGACTCTCACAAGGCCTCCCTGTTAGATCGGCCCTAGAGTTGGAGGTGCTCCCCTTATTAGGGTCCCGAGTGCCAAGCCTTCACAGGGCCCTAAAGCACTGTGTAGATCCAGGATTGAGTGGAGTTACTCCTCTCGGTTGCAAGGGTTATAAAGTGCCATGCTGAGTTCTACTCTCCAGGATACCCGTCTCTATGATCCGGTTTGTGAGCGATCACTGCCACTATCTGCAGTCCTCCCTACCGGATGCCTCCACAAGAGAGGCAAATAATGTTTGAGACTCTGTTTAGGAAACAGACAGGTTGTTGGCAGGACTAGGTCAGAACATTAGACCAGGTCAGCCTCCCTGGTGGCATGCGGGGTTGACTTCATGTCCCCCTCAGAAAGTGACTGGATGGGACTCCTTTGGACCCCCAGGCCATATTCCCTTAAAGGAACCCCTTCCACGGAAGCTGTTGGTTCCAAGCCTTTGAGCGGCCTTGGTAGGCCTTCATTGTATTGGAGGCCTCTTTGAGGCTTATAGCTTGGGCAGGGGCCGTAGGGAATACCGTCACTGACAGCATGTGTGTGACCCGAAGGGGGAGTGTTTGGCATTTCAGTGAAACTGCCAGTTCTGACTTTTTTGTCACAGGCATAATTTGGCATGCCCTCCCCTCAGCATGGTGGGTTTGTATATCTCTTCCCAAAGCGTCAGACGCAGTGTGAGTTCCCTTTCGAAAGGGAACGTCTCAGGTTACGACCGTAACTTACAGTGCATCCGGAAAGTATTCACAGCCCTTCACTTTTTCCACATTTTGTTATGTTACAGCCAAAATGGATTAAATTAATTATTTTCCTCAAAATTCAACAAACAATACCCTATATGTTTCTGAATGGTTAGTGGAAACATTTATGCACATGTATGTAGTTGTTGTGGAGTTACACTGATTCATCTCATCATCATGTTTAACTTTTACACAAGTTGACAGTTCCTGAGGTCTTTATAAAATAGCGGTGACATGTTCTGGTCAATAGTGTTCAGTGCTCGTCTGTGCTCAACGACAGAATAGTTTGATGCTTTGCTGGATCTTCTGCCATTGCGTTAAAACTGGTCACTGTTGTCGCTTGCGAAACCAAATGTCGGTGGCCATGGGTTTAAACGTGCAGATTAAGGCCCGGTAATATTATAATAAGATCCTCTTCCTACGTCAAACGGAGAGCGAAATCTGAGCGGCTTATTTTTTTACATGCTTGCAGAGAAAGGCTCACCAAAACAAAGTTACTGGGTTTCACTTTTCACGTTTTCTGGGTTGGTAGAAGCACCGGGGACCCGATTATAGCACTTAAACATGGAAAAAGTCAGATTTTCATGATATGTCTCCTTTAAGGGATACAATTATTGACTACAGGGGAACTTTAAGACTTTTACTCGTACCATCTAAGATATTTAAGACTTGTTTACAGGCTTAAATGAGATGAGACTGAGTGTGAGAGTATTTCAGGTCATGCAGAAGTGTGTTTCACCGTGAGCTCCAGCTGTGACTGTCGTCCAGCATCTGCAGCTGTTGAGGAAGAGCATCTCGTCCAGTCAGACGCTTCCACTGCGAGCTGAGCACCACAGAGAGACGCCTCCACCAGCGCTGCACACACACACACGGTCAGACGTCAGGACGCTGCACAGACAGCAGTGCTCTAGAACAGTTTTTCCCAACCTTTTCAAAAATGTGTGGCACCCTACACTAGTGTTGTCATAATTTTCAATACCACAGGGAAGAACTGCCTACTGTCATATGGATATTATATATACACATTTCAGGGAACCGAGATTATGTTAGTAACCAAATCATTCCCTTTCGAACGGTCAGTCGTATTGTGTCTGCTAGAACCGATGGGGAACCAATCCAATCATGCCGTGCTATATTCAAGCAGAGCGACATGTTCTATGACCCGAGCCTGGGACACTTGGACAAGGGTCCCAAGGGCAGAGGGCTAATGGGGCAATAGCGGCCTGAGGGGGTTCAGATAAGGTTGGAACCTTAAGAATAATGGTGGGCTTGGCTCACACGGAGGCTAGCTCAAACTACACGGAAAGGATGTGCGCCTGCAATGCAGGGACTTCCAGGTTATAAAATCAGCGAAGGTGGATGGTGAGGACCAGCCGGTGCCGCACATATATCGCCAATAGATACTCCACTGGACACGCCCAGGAGGAGGCCATGCCTCTCGTGGAGTGAGCTCTGACACCTATGGGGCATGTCAGGCCTATAGAAGCATAAACTAGAGTGATAGCGTCTACTAGCCAACGGGATAACATTTGCTTTGTGACCGGAAGCCCTTTGGTGCGGCCGCCAAAGCTTTTAAAGAGCTGTTCCGACTGTCTGAACTGGGTGGAGCGCTCTATATATGCTTTCAGGGCCCGAACCGGGCAGAGCAGGTGTTATTGTCCTGGGAAGAGCAGAAAGCGAAATTAGTTGTGCTTTGAACGGAGTTCCTTGCCTTGGCTTGAGGATGACTTTAGAGTCGCCTGGTCCAAACTCAAGCCAGGAAGCGCTGACAGAGAGCGCTTGTAGGTCCCATACTCGCTTGACCGATGCTAAGACTAGCAGTAGTGCAGTTTTGAGCTTAAGTGGCTTAAATTCGGCCGATTGTAGCGGCTCGAATGGGGGCCCTTTGAGGGCTCTAAGAACCGTGGATAGGTCCCAGGAGGGTACGGTAGGGGGGCGGGGCCGGTTGAGAAGCGAACAATCATGTAGCATTTCCCTAACGACTGGCCGGCCACTGGGGCATGGAAAGCTGCAATGGCCGCCACATAGACTTTGAGCGTGGATGGGGTACGGCTCGCATCCAGTAGCTTTTGAAGAAATGAAAGTACCAGTGGTACTTCACATAATGCAGGGTCCTGGTTCCGAGCTAAGGTACCCGCTGGAGAACACAGAACACTTAAGGGCATAGAGGCGTCTCGTGGACAGGGCTCTAGCCTCACAAATGGTGTTATGACTCTCGCTAGGAGGACAGCAAGCTCCCGTTAAGGGGCCACACATGGAGGGCCCATAGTTTGTGACGGGGGTGCCAAATCGTCCTGTCTGCTTGGGAAGGGAGGCCTACTCAGAGGTATCGGCCATGGGGCTGCTGTAAGCAGCTGGATCAACTCGGGAACTAAGGTTGGGTCCGCCAGAGAGGGGCAACTAGAAGGACTACGTGTCTGACCTATGGGAGGAGCGTGACCGGAGGAAAAGCATACAGGGGAAGGCTGGGCCGTTCGTGGGCCAGCGCATCCCTGTCCTCCGAGAAGAATATTGGGCAGTTTGAGTTGTCTTCAGAGGCGAAGAGGTTGACTTCTGCTCTCCCAAAAACGCTCCAGATCATTTGAACCGTCTGGGGATGAAGGGTCCATTCCCCTGGGAACACATTGCCCCGGGACAGCATATCTGCTCCCTGGTTCAGTCTGCCCTGTCTCGACCTGACCCCGCCCTGGTAGTTTATTTAGGACACTACTGTCTTGTTGTCCGGTCGGACTAAGATGTGTTGACCTGCCAGGTGTGGTAGGAAGGTTATTAGGGCCAGCAAACCTGCCAACAGTTGATATCAACGCCGCAGACCCGGCGGAAGTACTGCGGATGCGGAGGCCCTGAGGCCGAGCTGCCTCAGAGAGGTTCTGAGGGGCGACGGGCTCCTACTCTGGAAGAGGTTCTGAGGGGCGACGGGCTCCTACTCTGGAAGAGGTTCTGAGGGGCGACGGGCTCCTACTCTGGAAGAGGTTCTGAGGGGCGACGGGCTCCTACTCTGGAAGAGGTTCTGAGGGGCGACGGGCTCCTACTCTGGAAGAGGTTCTGAGGGGCGACGGGCTCCTACTCTGGAAGAGGTTCTGAGGGGCGACGGGCTCCTACTCTGGAAGAGGTTCTGAGGGGCGACGGGCTCCTACTCTGGAAGAGGTTCTGAGGGGCGACGGGCTCCTACTCTGGAAGAGGTTCTGAGGGGCGACGGGCTCCTACTCTGGAAGAGGTTCTGAGGGGCGACGGGCTCCTACTCTGGAAGAGGTTCTGAGGGGCGACGGGCTCCTACTCTGGAAGAGGTTCTGAGGGGCGACGGGCTCCTACTCTGGAAGAGGTTCTGTATTCGGAGAAAAGGGAGTTTTCCCCATCTCGTCTAGCAACTTAATACGACTGACCGGTCGAAAGGGAACTTACGATTTGCATTTTTATTATGCATTTCTGTACGTTATTGGTTGTTATTTGACACATCCAAGATTGATGGTACATTTTTTTTTATTTTTTTTTTACAGATTTTAGCAATGAGTTTTTACATGGCACCCCTGCTCTCGCCAGACACAATCCCCGGTTGGGAAAAGCTGCTCTAGAGGACAGATGTTTACACACACACACACACACACACACACACACACACACACACACACACGTGTTTACCGCAGCAGACAGCAGCAGCAGTGGACACTGAGCGCTGAACTCCGACACACACGCGTTCACGGCGTCAGCAGGACCGGCACAGCTCGCGCCGACACACACCACCGCCTGAAACACAACACACATTAGACGTACACATACTGCAAATATTGTGATTTGAACCGTTTCAACAGGTGTAGGGCTGTCAAATAAAAATATGAATTTCGAATATTCGTTGAATAAAAAAAACTGTAAATTCGAATGTAAAAACCGTACATTTGAATTTTTGGTGTGTCGAGGCGCGCGAGACATGATGATGACGTCACAGACGTGGTGTGTTTCTGTTAGCTTATTCAGTAAAGCAATATGTAGATGTAGTGAGTAGAAGTGAGAGTTTCTGAAGGCCAGTTTGCTGGTGTGTGTTCATGTAGTTCATTACGCTGTGTTGAAGTGTGTTTTCTCAGGTTACTGATGCACAAACACAGTTTTATGCACTATTGTAACCTAATTTTCCATGCATGCACATTAAGGAAATTATATTTTATTTAATGTTTCAAAAGTTAATGCACTTTAAAACGTGAATGTCGTTTAATTTCAATAAAAGATGCGATGCTTGATTTGGTTTATATTTGCTTATTGCGCTCGCGTGCGCCCTCTTGTGGACACAGGAGACAATACAGCACTTTCTCCTCTAACATTAAGGGTTGGCATTTTGACAGCCCTACACGGTGCACAAGACGTTTGTGAGTGATGCATTTTAGATGTTGTCACCTACTTTGAGGAAGTGAGCCGTGAGACTGAACGACAGCAGGCCAGCAGAACCACTCGCCCTCCTCTGAGAGACACACACACACACGTCACACACACACCTCATCATCACATCACAGATCATGCGTGTCGTGCTGAGACCTGAACATGCGTGATGTGGTCCATCATCCGACGGCAGTCCAGGGTTCTCCGGTCGGTTCTGGCGGACACCAGCAGGGCAGCAGGAAGAAGAGCTAGAACCCTGAGAGACACGAACACCATTACAGTGTGTGTGTGTGTGTGTGTGTGTGTGTGTGTGTGTGTGTGTGTGTGTGTGTGTGTGTGTGTGTGTGCGCGTGCGTGCGTGCGTGTGTGTGGACACCAGCAGGACAGAAGGAAGAAGAGCTAGAACCCTGAGAGACACGAACACCATCACAGTGTGTGTGTGTGTGTGTACACCAGCAGGGCAGCAGGAAGAAGAGCTAGAACCCTGAGAGACACGAACACCATCACAGTGTGTGTCTGTGCGTGTGTGTGTGTGTGAGTGAGTAAGTGAGTGAGTGTGTGTGTGTGCGTGCGTGCGTACCGGCTCACGTCGTGAAGCGTCTGCTGATATTTCAGCTCCTGTGCGATGCTGTCGGGGTCAGGGGTCACGGAGCACCTGCTGTCAATCAGGTCCCAGAGGAAGTGACCCGTGTCCTTTGATGCGCTGTGAGTGAGCAGCTCTTCATACAGGAACGCCTGCAGAGAGAGAGAGAGCAGAGAGAGAGAGAGAGAGAGAGAGAGAGAGCAAAGAGAGAGAGAGAGAGAGAGAGAGAGCAGTGACTGTATGAGACACCGAAGGACTCCTGGTATAAACTGTTCCCTGAAAAAGCAGAAGGATATGCTGCGTTGCTTAGTACATTGGGAACGTCTTTAATCGTGACCCGCTGTGAATATAGTGTGTAAACACGTCGATGGAATCGACCGGAGGTAATATAGCCTCGGTCGGTGACGTCATCACCCGCGACGCGAGGCTATAATTAGATGAGCCACAGGTGCATCGTCAGGATACTTTGTCTGAAGAGCAGTCCTGGGACATCATCAGCACGGCAATGCAGCGCAGCATCTCGTTCCGCTTTTTCAGGGAACAGGGTTACAGTCAAGTAACCCGGAGCGTTCCCTTTCAAAAGCTACAATCGATGCTGCGCTGCTTAGCGCATTGGGAACGAGAATGCCCACGCCGCCGTGCTTGAAGGTGTCTGGACTCCTTACGGTTGTGTAGGTGTGCTCACAAGAACGCAAGAAAGCCCTAGACATTAGCTTGTGATGTCGACTCAAGGACGTGAGAGCCCGGAGTGGCATGAACATCCAAACTATAAAATACTATGAATGTGGGCGGAGAGGACCAGCCTGCCGCATCACAAACAGACTGCAAGGGGACACCTCTTGCCAAGGCAGCAGAGGAGGCGACCCCTCTGGTGGAGTGAGCCCTTAGACCCATTGGCGAAGCTTGGCCGCGCGCCTCATAGGCAAGAGCAATAGCATCCCTGACCCAATGTGACATGGTCTGTTTGGTTGCGGCAGCACCCTTGTTACTGCCCCCATAACAAACAAATAGTTGCTCTGATTTACACCACTGGCTGGTGCGGTGGACGTAAGTCTGAAGAGCACAGACTGGACATAGTCTGTGAGATCTCTCCTGCTCCGGCGTTTTGAACGGCGGAGGGCAGAAGGCCTCAAGAGTGACTGGATGTACAGCCGAAAACGGTACCTTAGGCAGGTAATCAGGATGAGGATGCAAAATCACTTTCACCATTCCTGGGGCAAAGTCTAAGCAGGATGGAGATATTGACAGAGCCTGCATGTCCCCGATTCTTTTTAGAGAGGTTATAGCCATAAGAAAAAACATCTTTAGGGTCAGCGTGAAAAGATTGTTTTATCAATAAAATTTTAAATTAATTTCCCATATATTGTTTCAATAATTCAACCACTTTTAAAGCACTTCTTCATAGAAATGGCTGGTGAAGGGAGGATTCTGCTTCAGTGTATATGTAATCAGGGATTATAATCAAGGTACTAATCAATATGTTTCCTTCTAAACGTCACATGAGTTGAAGGACTTCTCTGAGCTTATGAGATTTTACTTTGCTACAGAAGTTACCAGTGTGATTACTGAACTGTTCTCTGATGTCTGTATGTTATATGAATGCAGTAACAGTGCTTGCTCATTTATTCCGGCTTCCAGAAATGAACTATAGAAAGATGTTTAGTTAGAGAAAGGTCTTCCACTGGGACTGGGTCTTCCACTGGGACTGGGTCTGGGTCTTCCACTGGGACTGGGTCTGGGTCTTCCACTGGGCCTGGGTCTGGGTCTTCCACTGGCACTGGGTCTTCCACTGGGACTGGGTCTGGGTCTTCCACTGGGTATGGGTCTGGGTCTTCCACTGGGTCTGGGTCTTCCACTGGGTCTGGGTCTTCCACTGGGCCTGGGTCTTCCACTGGGCCTGGGTCTTCCACTGGGTCTGGGTCTTCCACTGGGTGTGGGTCTGGGTCTTCCACTGCGTGTGGGTCTGGGTCTTCCACTGGGCCTGGGTCTTCCACTGGGCCTGGGTCTTCCACTGGGCCTGGGTCTTCCACTGGGTCTGGGTCTTGGTCTTCCACTGGGTGTGGGTCTGGGTCTTCCACTGGGTCTGGGTCTGGGTCTTCCACTGGGTCTGGGTCTTGGTCTTCCACTGGGGCTGGGTCTTCCACTGGGTCTGGGTCTTCCACTGGGTCTGGGTCTTCCACTGGGGCTGGGTCTTCCACTGGGTCTGGGTCTTCCACTGGGGCTGGGTCTTCCACTGGGGCTGGGTCTTCCACTGGGTCTGGGTCTTCCACTGGGGCTGGGTCTTCCACTGGGTCTGGGTCTTCCACTGGGTCTCGGTCTGGGACTGTGAATCCCAGCACTTTAAGCTGTAGGAACCCTGGATGTGTTAGCGAGAGGAACGTGAGAATGAAAGTGATCCGCACCTGTAGGAGCGACAGCAGGTCCGGCAGACAGCAGTCTGTGGGTGGAGGAGAGCGCGCTCCTGTCCGCGACCTACAAACACACACACACACACACACATTAGGTGAGGTATGACTGAGATACCTCTGATCCCTCTGCGAGTCACTCACGTCGTGTGATGGTCTAGAACAGCAGAGATGATGCGAGCGCAGATCTGAGTCACGTCTCCATCACAGCCTCCGTCACACTCCGACATGTGCAGATACTGATGACACGCCCACTGCTCATACTCCTGCCTGACACACACACACACACACACACACACACCTCCGTCACACTCCGACATGTGCAGATACTGATGACACGCCCACTGCTCATACTCCTGCCTGACACACACACACACACACACACCTCCGTCACACTCCGACATGTGCAGATACTGATGACACGCCCACTGCTCATACTCCTGCCTGACACACACACACACACACACACACACCTCCGTCACACTCCGACATGTGCAGATACTGATGACACGCCCACTGCTCATACTCCTGCCTGACACACACACACACACACACACACACACACACACACACACACCTCCGTCACACTCCGACATGTGCAGATACTGATGACACGCCCACTGCTCATACTCCTGCCTGACACACACACACACACACACACACACACACACACCGACATGTGCAGATACTGATGACACGCCCACTGCTCATACTCCTGCCTGATACACACACACACACACACACACCGACATGTGCAGATACTGATGACACGCCCACTGCTCATACTCCTGCCTGACACACACACACACACACACACACACACCGACATGTGCAGATACTGATGACACGCCCACTGCTCATACTCCTGCCTGATACACACACACACACACACACACACACACACACACACACCGACATGTGCAGATACTGATGACACGCCGACTGTTCATACTCCTGCCTGACACACACACACACACACACACACACCTCCGTCACACTCCGACATGTGCAGATACTGATGACACGCCGACTGTTCATACTCCTGCCTGACACACACACACACACACACACACACGTCTCTCTCCATCATGCTCGGCTCAGGCTGATAATGCTGAAGCGTGCTCTGCTATAGGCCTTGTGTAGCCCCGCCCCTTTTCAGCGCTGCGCTCGTTGTCTTTTGTCTTCCGGTCTGTATTCTCACAGCAATCTTGCGTATTTATGAATTTATGAATGAACGACTCGTTTTAAAATCTTCCCGGTCTACTGACATTCGATAAGACATCTGCTTTAAACATTACAATCCTCATGATAACTTTCGTTAACTTTACATTAAGTAAATCCACTTCAAAAGCTAATTACTCCTGGACAGCGATGCCATAGAGATATACAGAGCGACCGCAAAAACGGAAGTTCAAAGACAATATTCTAAAGATGGCGGCGCGCTTGTTTCTCCGGTGCATGAGGTCTATAGAGATGCTGCAGGGATGTTTAAAACACAGTTTGGCGTTCGCCTTTGTAATTGGTCATCTCACGCTTAAATTGTTTAAAGTCATATTGAAATGCTCACAAAGGATTCGGAATTGTACCCAAAGCGTGCGCACACAGAAAGTGATTTTTAATATGACTTTAAACCATTCAAGTGCGAGAGACTCTGTTCTCTGTGGTGTTCACAGATGTGTATCAGTGTATTGGACCCGTGCAGATCTTAAAGTGACAGCACTCATATTCCTGCCGTCTCTATAATATCACTAATGCCCAGCTGTAATCGCAGGCCTCTTAGATGTTTGTGTTATAGTGTGTTCGTGTCCCTGATGTGTGTGTGTGTGTGTGTGTGTGTGTGTGTGTGTGTGAGTGCACTGCTGTACCTCTCTGCATCTGTCAGGGCATCTCGGCTCCGGTGAACCTGAAGCTCAGCTGAGAGCCACTCCGAGAACGAGAGCTGAAGAAACAGCGAGAGTTAGCGCACCCGTCCGACACACTGCGTCTCCTGGGAGAGTGAGGCTGTGAGAGTACCTGATACTGAGGCCGTTTCCTCAGGGATCGGATCTGTGTGTTCCTCCACAGCGCCACAGCGGAGTCTTGCACTCGCCCGGTCAGATCACACACATCTGCGCACGCATCCGGCTCGTCCTCCTCGCTCAGGAGCGCTCGTGTCCCGGGGACCAGCCTGGCCATCACATACTGAGCCTGAACACACACACGTGCAGTCATACTGAGCCTGAACACACACACGTGCAGTCACACTGAGCCTGAACACACACACGTGCAGTCATACTGAGCCTGAACACACACACGTGCAGTCATACTGAGCCTGAACACACACACGTGCAGTTATACTGAGCCTGAACACACACACGTGCAGTCATACTGAGCCTGAACACACACACGTGCAGTCATACTGAGCCTGAACACACACACGTGCAGTCATACTGAGCCTGAACACACACACGTGCAGTCATACTGAGCCTGAACACACACACGTGCAGTCACACTGAGTCTGAACACACACAGTCACACTGAGCCTGAACACACACACGTGCAGTCATACTGAGCCTGAACACACACACGTGCAGTCACACTGAGCCTGAACACACACACGTGCAGTCACACTGAGCCTGAACACACACACGTGCAGTCATACTGAGTCTGAACACACACACGTGCAGTCATACTGAGCCTGAACACACACACGTGCAGTCATACTGAGCCTGAACACACACACGTGCAGTCACACTGAGCCTGAACACACACACGTGCAGTCATACTGAGCCTGAACACACACACGTGCAGTCACACTGAGCCTGAACACACACACGTGCAGTCACACTGAGCCTGAACACACACACGTGCAGTCACACTGAGCCTGAACACACACACGTGCAGTCACACTGAGCCTGAACACACACACGTGCAGTCACACTGAGCCTGAACACACACACGTGCAGTCATACTGAGCCTGAACACACACACGTGCAGTCATACTGAGCCTGAACACACACACGTGCAGTCACACTGAGCCTGAACACACACACGTGCAGTCATACTGAGCCTGAACACACACACGTGCAGTCACACTGAGCCTGAACACACACACGTGCAGTCACACTGAGCCTGAACACACACACGTGCAGTCATACTGAGCCTGAACACACACACGTGCAGTCACACTGAGCCTGAACACACACACGTGCAGTCACACTGAGCCTGAACACACACACGTGCAGTCACACTGAGCCTGAACACACACACGTGCAGTCACACTGAGCCTGAACACACACACGTGCAGTCACACTGAGCCTGAACACACACACGTGCAGTCACACTGAGCCTGAACACACACACGTGCAGTCATACTGAGCCTGAACACACACACGTGCAGTCACACTGAGCCTGAACACACACACGTGCAGTCACACTGAGCCTGAACACACACACGTGCAGTCACACTGAGCCTGAACACAAACACGTGCAGTCATACTGAGCCTGAACACACACACGTGCAGTCACACTGAGCCTGAACACACACACGTGCAGTCATACTGAGCCTGAACACACACACGTGCAGTCACACTGAGCCTGAACACACACACGTGCAGTCATACTGAGCCTGAACACACACACGTGCAGTCACACTGAGCCTGAACACACACACGTGCAGTCATACTGAGCCTGAACACACACACGTGCAGTCACACTGAGCCTGAACACACACACGTGCAGTTATACTGAGCCTGAACACACACACGTGCAGTCACACTGAGCCTGAACACACACACACACACGTGCAGTCATACTGAGCCTGAACACACACACGTGCAGTCATACTGAGCCTGAACACACACACGTGCAGTCATACTGAGCCTGAACACACACACGTGCAGTCATACTGAGCCTGAACACACACACGTGCAGTCACACTGAGTCTGAACACACACACGTGCAGTCACACTGAGTCTGAACACACACACGTGCAGTCACACTGAGCCTGAACACACACACGTGCAGTCACACTGAGCCTGAACACACACACGTGCAGTCACACTGAGCCTGAACACACACACGTGCAGTCATACTGAGCCTGAACACACACACGTGCAGTCACACTGAGCCTGAACACACACACGTGCAGTCACACTGAGCCTGAACACACACACGTGCAGTCATACTGAGCCTGAACACACACACGTGCAGTCACACTGAGCCTGAACACACACACGTGCAGTTATACTGAGCCTGAACACACACACGTGCAGTCACACTGAGCCTGAACACACACACACACACGTGCAGTCATACTGAGCCTGAACACACACACGTGCAGTCATACTGAGCCTGAACACACACACGTGCAGTCATACTGAGCCTGAACACACACACGTGCAGTCACACTGAGCCTGAACACACACACACACACGTGCAGTCATACTGAGCCTGAACACACACACGTGCAGTCATACTGAGCCTGAACACACACACGTGCAGTCACACTGAGCCTGAACACACACACACACACGTGCAGTCACACTGAGCCTGAACACACACACGTGCAGTCACACTGAGCCTGAACACACACACGTGCAGTCACACTGAGTCTGAACACACACACGTGCAGTCACACTGAGCCTGAACACACACACACACACGTGCAGTCACACTGAGCCTGAACACACACACGTGCAGTCACACTGAGCCTGAACACACACACGTGCAGTCACACTGAGTCTGAACACACACACGTGCAGTCACACTGAGCCTGAACACACACACGTGCAGTCACACTGAGCCTGAACACACACACGTGCAGTCACACTGAGCCTGAACACACACACGTGCAGTCACACTGAGTCTGAACACACACACGTGCAGTCACACTGAGTCTGAACACACACACGTGCAGTCACACTGAGCCTGAACACACACACGTGCAGTCACACTGAGCCTGAACACACACACACGTGCAGTCACACTGAGCCTGAACACACACACGTGCAGTCACACTGAGCCTGAACACACACACGTGCAGTCACACTGAGCCTGAACACACACACGTGCAGTCACACTGAGCCTGAACACACACACGTGCAGTCACACTGAGCCTGAACACACACACGTGCAGTCACACTGAGTCTGAACACACACACGTGCAGTTATCCTGAGTCTGAACACACACACGTGCAGTCATACTGAGCCTGAACACACACACGTGCAGTCATACTGAGCCTGAACACACACACGTGCAGTCATACTGAGCCTGAACACACACACGTGCAGTCACACTGAGCCTGAACACACACACGTGCAGTCACACTGAGCCTGAACACACACACGTGCAGTCACACTGAGCCTGAACACACACACGTGCAGTCACACTGAGCCTGAACACACACACGTGCAGTCACACTGAGCCTGAACACACACACGTGCAGTCACACTGAGCCTGAACACACACACGTGCAGTCATACTGAGCCTGAACACACACACGTGCAGTCACACTGAGCCTGAACACACACACGTGCAGTCACACTGAGCCTGAACACACACACGTGCAGTCACACTGAGCCTGAACACAAACACGTGCAGTCATACTGAGTCTGAACACACACACGTGCAGTCATACTGAGCCTGAACACACACACGTGCAGTCACACTGAGCCTGAACACACACACGTGCAGTCACACTGAGCCTGAACACACACACGTTGCAGTCACACTGAGTCTGAACACACACACACGTGCAGTTATACTGAGCCTGAACACACACACGTGCAGTTATACTGAGTCTGAACACACACACGTGCAGTTATACTGAGTCTGAACACACACACGTGCAGTTATACTGAGCCTGAACACACACACGTGCAGTCATACTGAGCCTGAACACACACACGTGCAGTCATACTGAGCCTGAACACACACACACACACACGCAGTCACACTGAGCCTGAACACACACACACACACACGCAGTCACACTGAGCCTGAACACACACACGTGCAGTCATACTGAGCCTGAACACACACACGTGCAGTCACACTGAGCCTGAACACACACACACACACACGCAGTCACACTGAGTCTGAACACACACACGTGCAGTTATACTGAGCCTGAACACACACACGTGCAGTTATACTGAGCCTGAACACACACACGTGCAGTCACACTGAGCCTGAACACACACACGTGCAGTCACACTGAGCCTGAACACACACACGTGCAGTCACACTGAGTCTGAACACACACACGTGCAGTCATACTGAGCCTGAACACACACACGTGCAGTCACAATGAGCCTGAACACACACACGTGCAGTCATACTGAGCCTGAACACACACACGTGCAGTCACAATGAGCCTGAACACACACACGTGCAGTTATACTGAGCCTGAACACACACACGTGCAGTCACACTGAGCCTGAACACACACACGTGCAGTCATACTGAGCCTGAACACACACACGTGCAGTCACACTGAGCCTGAACACACACACGTGCAGTCATACTGAGCCTGAACACACACACGTGCAGTCACACTGAGCCTGAACACACACACGTGCAGTCACACTGAGTCTGAACACACACACGTGCAGTCACACTGAGCCTGAACACACACACGTGCAGTCATACTGAGCCTGAACACACACACGTGCAGTCATACTGAGCCTGAACACACACACGTGCAGTCACACTGAGCCTGAACACACACACGTGCAGTCATACTGAGCCTGAACACACACACGTGCAGTCATACTGAGTCCTGAACACACACACGTGCAGTCACACTGAGTCTGAACACACACACGTGCAGTCACACTGAGCCTGAACACACACACGTGCAGTCACACTGAGCCTGAACACACACACGTGCAGTCACACTGAGCCTGAACACACACACGTGCAGTCACACTGAGTCTGAACACACACACGTGCAGTCACACTGAGCCTGAACACACACACGTGCAGTCATACTGAGCCTGAACACACACACGTGCAGTCATACTGAGTCTGAACACACACACGTGCAGTCATACTGAGCCTGAACACACACACGTGCAGTCACACTGAGCCTGAACACACACACGTGCAGTCACACTGAGCCTGAACACACACACGTGCAGTCATACTGAGCCTGAACACACACACGTGCAGTCACACTGAGCCTGAACACACACACGTGCAGTCATACTGAGC